GAGAATTTATCGAAAGTATACGTATGCTCGCCAACTGCCCTTCTGAATTTTTCTGTTTTTTGGGGCCAACTATGAAACCAATTAGCGAGCATTAATCTATTGTGATTTGATAATTATTGCACAGTTTCACTACCGAACGTTATCTTTGTCTAAAATTACGTAAGCAATATAGTACAAATTACCGATCTATCAGAAATGGATGACTACTAGTTGAGTCGGTCACGCAAACCTACAGATTGCAAAACCCTCGATCTCATGTCGAAACCATCGCTTGAAGGCAATCCTGTCATGAGGAAGGTGCTCTGTGCAGCTGCTCCTAGATTCAGCTCTTTTTCCAGCATCAGTTTGTAGAGACGCATTATGTCATAGGTGAGAACGTTCCCGGAGTCAAATATCACAATGGCAACCTGCCCCTTTTGAATGATTGGCATGTCCTTCACTTTGGAGAGGAAAAACGTTGCAATATCCGGGCGAGCAATGACAACAATGGCTGCAAAAGAAGTAGGAAAGCGCAGTTGAGAAGGTAAATCGTCAAAAGTAGGAGAAACTACAGCGAACATATGTGGGCTATTAGTCATCATCAGTCATAATTTAATCCCGAGTGGCCTCTGTGATTCAAAAATGGAGTACTTTTAATACTTTTAAATAGTGTTATAGGACTAACAAAGCTTACATGAATAGTTGATTGTGGAGAAGTTTGCTTCCTAATAGACAGACGATTCTCTCTAACTTTTGAGCAAAAGCAGGTACTGTAGAAAGGCAAAACACAACTCAACAAACTATGATCCCAATTTTGCGTCCATAGTTATTCTTAAGAAACGCAGCTCAAGGTTGATAGCTGATATGCTTGACTGGCTATCCCAAACTAAACGCAGGGACCGTAAATAGATTCCTCTTACTTCCGTGGTCGACGTAAACTCTACATGCCCCGGCAGATAATTTGGCTTCTCAATGGCCCATGTAGCTGCCAGAGAAATGTACGTACATATCTGTAGCCTCGTCAAGTAGCACAACAACTATCAGACTGATTCTATTGCAAAATGTGGACAGATATATACTAGGGAAATTTTGCAGAAGTCCAAAAGTGGTGAGCGTGAAGCGGTGAAAACGCGAATAAAAGTTGTATCTGTCCCAACTACCTACTATAGGAAGCACGGTGTGTACTATAACCACATATACGCACGCCAAGCATGCTCAGCCCAAAAATGAGTGATAATAGAGTTCCCATTTAGTGGACCTTCTCTCTATTGAACTTGCATTACAATATAATTTACTGTAGTTAGAACGTATGGCAAATACAGGGTGTCTCA